GCAGTGGAGGACATACCGAGAAATGAAAATCCATACAACTGGGGTTCATTGCCAGTTACTGAAATTAGCCCCTGGGGAGGAAAAGACCTGGAATGCAGCCAGACCCACTTCCACTGAAAGTCCACGCCATTTTAATTTTTTACCAGACTCAGTGATTCTCTTAAGAGTTTCCGAAACCACTTTTTTTTTTTAGGTATAGCACATGTAATTTTATTTTTTTATATTTTTAAATCTTTATTGTTGAATGTATTACACATGTTCCTCATTTTTCCCCATTGACCCCCTCCTCCCCACTCCTGCCCCCTCCCGCTTTTTCCCACACTATTGTCTGTGTTCATTGGTTATGCATATAAGTTCTTTGGTTTATTTTTCTTCCCACCCCCCAACCCCTTTCCCTTTGAGGTTTGTCAGTCTAGCAATGAATTTGTACTTCTTAATCCCCTCACCTTTTTCACCCATTCCCCCAACCCCCTTCTCATCTGGCAACCAACAGAATGTTCTCTGTATCAATGAGAATGTTTCTGTTCTGCCTGTTCATTTTGGTTGTAGATTTCATTGCCGATAGATATGTATTCATTGCCATTTTGTTCATATATTTTATCTTTTTCTTCAAAAAGACCCTTCAACATTCCATATAATAATGGTTTGGTGGTGATGAACTCCTTTAACTTTTTCTTGTCTGGGAAACTCTTTATATGGCCATCAATTCTAAATGACAGCTTTGCAGGATAGAGTAATCTTGGTTGTAGGTTCTTGCTTTTCATCACTCTGAATATTTCTTGCCACTCCCTTCTGGCCTGCAAAGTTTCTTTTGAGAAATCAGCTGACAGCCTTATGGGAAGTCTTTTGTAGGTAACTGCCTTTCTCGTGCTGCTTTTAAAATTCTGTCTTGAACACGTTTTGCATTTTGATGATGATGTGTCTTGGTGTGGGCCTCTTGGGGTTCATCTTGTTTGGAACTCTCTGTGCTTCCTGGACTTGTATGTCTGTTTCCTTCACCAAGTTAGGAAAGTTTTCTGCCATTATTGTTTCAAACAGGTTTTCGATTTCTTGTTCTCACTCTTCTCCTTCTGGCACCCCCAAGATGCGAATGTTGGCACACTTGAAGTTGTCCCAGAGGCTCCTTACACTATCCTCATTTTTGTGGATTTTTTTTTCTTTTGCTGTTCTGATTGGGTGTTTTTTGCTTCCTTATATTCCAAATTGATGGTTTGCTTCTTGGATTTACGTACTCTACTATTGAATCCGTGTAAATTATTCTTTATTTCAGTTAATGCCTCCTTCATTTCTGACTGGTCCTTTTTTATGCTCTTGTGGCCCTCACTAAGATCACTGAGCTTCCTTATAAGCAGTATTTTGAAGTCAGCATCTGTTAGGTTGCTTATCTCCATTTCGCTTAGTTCTTTTCTTGGGGTTTTGTTTTGTTCTTTCATTTGGGACCTGTTTCTTTGTCTCCTCATTTTGGCTGCCTCCCTGTGTTTGTTTCTGTGTATTACTTAAGGAGCAGTATGGGGCTAGCTGAGACCAGATGCTGCTTGTTTGAAAGAATTTAGGAAAACCTGAAGCAGGATCCAAGACAGGCCAATCCTTTGATTAAGCAAGTGGCAACAGCTTGGGTGGGCCTGAAAGTTGGATGGGGCAGGGCGGGGCCTCAGGGAGTCACCAGGGCTGGGCAACCAGTGTGAGCCAGGTTGCTGGAGTCCCAGATATGGCGACTGTCTGCTGCCCCAGGGAAGGGCTCACCAAAGGAACTAAGGCCTCTGACAGCATATTTGTCCCGGAGAAAGCCCCTCTGCAGCCCTAGCTCCAGTGCCAAACAGCTCAGTTCTTCCTTGTATATCTCTGGCGCCCCAGGAGCTGCCTGGAACTCCAGCCGCCTCAGCCTCCCTGTGCCTCAGTTCCTGCTGGTTTTTCCAGCCAGAAGTTATGGGGACTTCTCTTCCTGGCACTGGAACCCTGAGCAGGGCGCCTGGTGTGGGACGGGGACCCCCTCAGTCCTCAGGGAGGACCTTCCCAGCCGAGGTGTCCTCCTGATTTTTATCCGCCACACGTGGGTGTGAGACCAGCCCCTCCCCTCCACCCCTCCTACCAGTCTGGATGTGGCTGCTGCTTTAATTCCGTAGTTGTAGGACTTCCATTCAGCTTGATTTCAGGCGGTTCTGAATGATGGTTGTTCTGTAGTTTAGATGTAACTTTGATGTGGTTGTGGGAGGACGTGATACCACATTTATCTACCTGCCATCTTGACCGGAAGTCTCTGAAAACACTTTTTTGAGACACGATCTATAATAGCTGTTGGCCATAAGTGGCCGCATGAATTACAACCAGATAAAGTGGACGTTGCCGTTCCTCGGTCACACTAGCCAGGCTTCAGATGCTCAGTGGTCACGTGTGCTGAATGTATTGGACGGCATTTCTGCCGCTGCAGAAACTTCTATTAAACAGCTGATCTAGACAAGGAACTTAAATTATATATACAGGTATACCTCGGAGACATTGCAGGGTCAGTTTGCACCACTTTAATACAGTGAATATTTCAATAAAGTGAGTCATAATTTTTTTATGTCCCATGTGTTTAAGTTATATTTACACTATACTGTAGTTTATTAAGTATGTACCTTAATTTAAATATATTTTATTGCTAAACAATATTAACCATCATCTGAACCTTTTGCGAGTCTAAATCTGAATCTCTTTGCTGGTGGAGGGTCTTACCTTCAATTTATAAAATATTCACTATGAGAAGCACAATAAAGTGAGGTTTGCCTGTGTAAGTGACTATGATAACAAGATAATACCTTAGGTTGAATTATTCAAAATTAACAGAAATGTCAATTTTACCCTAACAAAGAGTTTTTGTCTTAATATTCTGCTTTGGTTTTAGAAAGAAATGAAAATCTGCATAAGAGTTATCTGGATTGACAACTATTTGAGTCTTACCCTAGAGCCCTGCCTAAGTGTGGGAATTCGCAAACTATTTTGGGTTAAAGCATTTCATCCCAAATAAATGACTGTTTGGGGATCACACTAAGTGGTAATTTTCTCCTAAAGAAATTTTTAGTAACTGTACTTTTGATCTTGCTGTTAAAGAAACTTAGGTCTAGCACTTACTTGCTGTGTGAGTTTTGTTAAATTACTCACCCTCTCTGAGCCCCCACTCTCTACCTTTGATTCTGTTCTGCACACCCTTGGGTTTCTCGAGTCTTCAGTGCACAGAGCTTCCTCCTGTCACAAGGGGCTTTTCTCTGCTGTTCCCGCCGTCTAGAGCACAGCCCACAGCGCTCCACTCCTACTGTGCCGCTTTCGGTATTTAGCTCAAATGCCACTTCCTCCTAAAAGCTGCCCTTGATGCCCAGGCTGAGTCAGGTTTCTGTTACACGCTTTCTTAAATCTTTGTACCATTTGCTCAGAGTACAATCCCAGAGTAGATTTATAAATCTGTCAATTACTGCCTGTCTCTTACAACAAGCTGTCCCCTCTATGGGAGCAGGAAGGATTTCTATATTTTGCTCACCACTTTATCCCCAGGTTCTAAAACAGTGCCCAGCACGCTGGAGGTATTAAATGGTATTGAGTTAAATATAGGCATTTCTGCTATAACATGATACTATATCCCTAAAAAATCTCACATTCAGCAATATCCTGTGCTTATGGGGGGAAACAATATGAGAAGCAGACCACTCAAAACCTGTGAGACTTTGGAACCAGAACAATTAGCACCTAAGCCAACATGTTGGACAGCCCAGGCAGAGTGCCCAGTGGAGCTGAAGGCTGCCTGTGTGTGTGTCGGGGGTGGGGGGATATGGAGCTGTGAGCAAGTGGGCTGTCCTGGGGTGGTGAAACAAGCTGAGAGCCAGGATGGGGTGGGGTGCGCCTCTTGGAGCAGGAGCCCAGTGAAGGGGTGCTCAATGTTCTTAAATAAAGCTGAGTGCCTCCTACCTCTGTAGCAGCTGAAATGAGGGCTTTTGCCGTTGCTGTTGTTAGAAATTATAATTCTTTCCCTGCTGTACTGGCATCTCTTATGTAGAAATATTTGTGTATTAGTAAAAACCAATTCAACTTCCATGTGATACTGGCCTAACTCCTACAACCCAATGAGTGTTTAGAAGCAGACTGTACTGAGGGAGCGTTGCACAGTTCCCTCTACCTTCTTTCCTATAACCTGAGAAAAATCCTCCCGTGACACCTGTATTGAGTAGTAAGAGTGTCTTGGATCATTCCTGACCAGTGAATCAACTACAGGAAATCCCCAGCTTACAAACAAGGCGTGTTTGCAGTGCTTATTTCTACGTCACTTTTCTGCCCATAGCGACGCTCCAAAGTTAATCTACAAAAGCCTGTGCAAACCATCACATAGCACAAGTTAGCGTCTACTGAAGATGGTCTAGACTCCAGGCACGGGGAGGGGACCTTGCCACATCTGCCTCATTCAGTCCTAACAAAGGTGCTTTGAGGCAGACTCTATTCTCAGCCTCACTTTACCATTGAGAAAAAGAAGGTGAAAGAGGTTAGTTCCTTGCCAGAGGCCACACAATGAATAAAGGGCCCGGTCCCATTCCCTCAGAGCCACCTTGTCCCCTCCTTACGCAGCCAGCACAGAAATCCCCACAGAGCGCCCTCTGGAGGACACAGCCACTCCCAGCAGAGCGCAGTGCCCCAGCACCTGCCCACTTCAGTCCTGCTCTCAGAATGGCCCCCAGTCTCCAACATAACCGAACCCCAGGAAACAGAGGCTATGGCAAGCCAATTCACCCTCTGAGTCTGTAACTCAGATCCACCCCTTCAAAATTCTCTCCCCTCAGCATCCCTTCGATAGGTCACAGAGGGCGCCCCATCAGCTTTGGTGCTGTGTGCTGGTATTTCATCTTTCTATGGCCATTTCTACATGGAAGCCATATGTAGAAATTGTTTGTACTGCCTGAGGTTCAGTTTACAACTCCCAGGTCAAACAGAGGACCAGACAGCTTTACCAGACAGCAGCTGAGCACAAGGGAACTCACTTGTACAAACTGACAGCTGGCTCCACCGCCAACAGGAGGAAGGGCGCCACGGTGTAGGAGACGGCCAGCTGAGTGACAGCCCACGTGACTGCGTCGTACACGGCCTTGAGGGCTTTTGAAGACAGGAAATAGTGTCTACAGTTGTTCCTCACCTGCAAGCCAAGGAAGGCAAAGGGGAGGGTAAGAAATAAAACAACTTGACTCTGCGTAAGCAGGTAAACCTTAGGAGCATAAGGATCAGAAACACCAACCATCTGAGTTCCACTTCCAGCTAAAAATACCATTGCGGTTTTTCTTATTGAGGAAAAAAACACATGTGCACTGTAGAAAATTATTTAAAGAACTAAGCAAAAACAATTTTCTTCCTTTTTAACATCTCCCAGAGAAAAGCACTATTTAAAAATCTGGCCCACATCCTTCCAAGCCTTCTTCTATTCATAGGTACCCACTTTGTATTTCAGAGCATCAGTAGAGTCTTTAGTCTGCTTTTTCATTTAGTTAATATGTCATGGGTTTTGTTTGTTTTTTTCCCACATCAGTCCCCAATACAATTTTAAGTTAATGATGGGAAAGTTAGCTTGCAACCCCCCTCCCCCTACTATAGTAAACAATTCTGTAATGCTTCCCTGGAAGAGAAGTCACTGCACTGTTTCCTGATTATTTCCTTTGACTGACAGTAATATCACCATCAATTATAAGAGCAGTTACATCTACTGAGGGCTTACTGCATGCCAAGCCTGTGCTGGTGCTCACCTGTATCATGTCAGTTCTCCCAGCAAACCAATCATGTGGGCACCAGTTTGCCCATTTGACAGACAAGGAAACAGAAATTCTTTAAAATGGAAAATGCTAGGTCAAAGGATATACTCGTGTGTAGGTCTTTTGACACATGTGAGTGGATTTGCCTCCAGAAAGACACCTGATTTCCAGTTGCCAGAAGTAAAGGCAGAGCTGAGGCTGGTGTATGGGTAAGTCGGCCTCAGAGCCCGGAAGGCTTCCCAGGGCAGCCTGGCGAGCTGCCTCCTCTCCTCCCAGTTTCTCAGGACAGAAGCCAGAGGTCTGTCCACAACGAGGGCAGCATGGGCGGTATGGGCAAGCATGTAGGAGATTGTATTAGGTAACTTCCCAGGTCTAAGACACTTCATGACTGCTTGATTTCATTGTCCGCCCAGAAAAAAATGGGAATACTGTTCTATAAACTCTCTCCTCTCCATCCCCTACTTTACTAACTTGTGGGAAATGTTTCCGGGCCACCTAAAAGAAAGGTTTTACATAAATCAATTTAAGAAATAATACCCTGAATATATTAACACACAAAACTCTAGCCTTTGTTTTGTAGTTTGTCCTGGCCTGTTTTTCAGTTTTCTTTTATAATCCAAGTAGGTGTATAAATTGGAGAAAAGAAAATGTCTTCCATGTTTCCTATTCACAAATATGTACAATCTATATTTTATTTTTAAAGTGTGCTAATCATCATGAAGAGTAATCAATTACTCATCTTGTTTACACATATATCCCAACAAACCTTCATCTAATGAAATTAAAAGTCCCATGGGTGGGGGGGAGACTCGTCTTGCTCACTATGGTAGCCCAGCACCTAGAACACTGACCACACATGGCAGGGCTCCTGAAACATTCACAGAGCAGACACATTAAAGACTAAGTGAACAGCTCTCTGGGACTCCAAGATACAATCAACAAATGTCCTTGAAAGCTCTTGGCACATGGATAAGAAAGACCACAATCATCATTACAGATGGAAATAAAATCAAATACAAATCTCTGTCGTTGACAATTAGAGCACATTAAACTGTAGTTACTTGTATTCATTTCATTCTTTGAAGGAAGGCATATTTTTTTTATTCCTTTATTATCCTGCTCTATAGCCAGCAAATAGTAGGAACCATCTAAGACAAACTACTCAAACAACCTAGAGAGCCAAATTTCTAAAATTCAGAGGATTTTACACAAACTAGTTCCACTGGACCAGACGTGAGGGGTCAAAGCAATCTCTAACAACACGGTTCCTGCAGCTGCAATTTTCCTGAATTGCTTCTAGGCTCAGCATCATGAAATGAGAAATGAATAATAAGTAAATGAAGTCTTCCGAAGCCTTCATCAATGAATAATCACTGTCAGCTTTGATTAGTAGATTGCATATATATTCACAGCCTTTAATGATTAAACATGTTGTCTCTTAAGTTACTAAACATTGTTCCTCAGATCCCTTGTTTTGCAAACACCCTCTGTAACTAACATGAAAGTAAAATGGTCAGCCATTTAATGACCACAAGTTCCTGGACACTAAAGTATTTCTCTAATGGGAAGACTTTTGTTGTTTGATTTTTTTTTTTTCCCCAAAACATCACTCCCACCCCCTCATCCCTGGACTCCTAATAGGACTCAATGACAATAAACATAGAGGCATCAGACTGCTAAGGAAAAGACCCCACAACCAAAGCAAGCTTACCGTTCTGGCTGCTACGGTGACGAGGATTCCAGTTAAGAAGGTGAAATAGTACCCAGGGTAGACACCATGCCACAGGGCAGACAGGATGAAGGTGAGCACTGTGGGGTACCAGGGCACCCGCTCGTAGCACACTCTGCAGAGAGGCAGGCACAGTGAGCCACAGGGCAAACATACCAGCAGCTTCCAGCTACACTGGCATCTTTTTGAATCAGACTCTCAGAAACCACGCGCTCCGCTCCTGATGGCCTGGCCCAGCTCAGGGACTCGAAATGCAATCCAAGCAGCCTGACCTCGCGTTTTCTTCAACACTACCAAATAGGCAGCTCACATTCCATATTTTGGGGAGCAGTATGAACTTTTACTCTCCAAAGAACTAATGATCTGGACCCCATCACCCTATATCTAATAAAAATCCAAGTGGTCAGGATCTACCCAGCCCTTGTCAATGGCCTAATCCACCAGGAATAATTATGGATAAATAAGTGTCACTTTGCCCGGCAAGTGTGGCTCAGTGGTTGAGCTTCAACCCATGCACCAAGAGGTCACCAGCTCGATTCCCAGTCAGGGCACATGCCCAGGCAGTGGGCCCCCTCCCCAGTGGGAGGCATGCAGGAGTTGGCCAATTGATGTTCTCTCTCATCAATGTTTCCATCTCTCCCTTCCTCTCTCTCTAAAATTAATTTTAAAAAAAACTTTTTAAATAAATAAGTGCCACTGGCACAACATTTTGGAATCAGGATAAGGGTGTCTGGAAGTGGATATCCTCCTTTAGTCAAAATTAATCAACCTCTCCCACCTAGCCCCTGTGCACCCAACTCCCTCTGCGACCCTTGTTGTCTCTTTGGCAATGACTCCAGCCCCAAACCACCCTGTCCGCTTTAAGACCTTTCAGTTGTCACTGTGTGCATGGATTTCAGTCCATGAATTTGCCTTCACGTGGGATATTGTATGGGTGGGGCAAACAGCCCATGAGGTCTTTGATGTCTTTGTTGATTATTAAGACAAAGTGACAGGACTCACTCCCAAGTGCAGTCTACAAATTGCCAGTAGCACCGATGGGAAGCCACAGTGCAGTTTACTAACTGAGAGGACCCAAGCAGAAAGGAAAACAAACTCAGCACCACCCCCTGCATGGTATGGGTTCTCAGAAATAACTGATTTAAACCCAAACTAAGGATTATGGCTCCCTCTACATAGAAAGGGAATGCATTTGGGGAGAAAAACACAGGACTGGGACCCCATTTGTAATGTTTCGTTTTAAAATGAGGACTAGTTTGCATATGTACTTGCTTCTTATCCTCTGTATCTTTTTTTTTTTAAATGAAATATTTTGTTTTCTATTTTTTTATGTGCACACAGGTATGTTCAATCATCTTAGAACAAACTTCTAATGGAAACTGTAAAACTCTTGGTACATTGGGATTACTCAATAGACAGAAATAGAGGCTAAAATTATTTGCAAAATTAATAGCATTACTATTAAGGAATATTTTCAGACAACACTGTATGAGCTTACTTTGGGGGAAGTACTATAAAGTGTACCCAGTCTTCACCTAAGAAAAATGCTACTTACCAAAAAGAGGACCTACAGCTTAGTACTGTAATACTCTCCCTGCACTTGTACGATAGGAATGTTCACTTAGCTCGAGTTTCAGGGATAGCATATTATTCCAGAATAGCAATGTTTCCAACTTTGGAGTGTGTAGGGAAACAAATACCAATAAAAAAGTTTAAAAGCACAAACATCTGGAGTATCATAAAGCTTTTACTGCTAAGGATAAAAAAAGATACTGACAAGCACCCTCTTTGATGTTTGACCAACAGGCGCTCTCTAGGTTAGATGTAGTGCAGCACAGAGTTAAGAGCCTGGCTCTGCAGGTGGTCTGTTTGGGCTCTTATCTATTATTACTCATGAGCTGTGTGGCTGTGGGCAAGTTACATAACCTCTCTGTGTCTCACTTTGCTCATCTGCAAAATGAGGATAATAACTACCAACATCTCATAGGATTGATATGAGGATTAAATGAATGGCAGGATTAAGTGTTTGACGCATTAAAATAAATATGCTATATTGAGACCTCAAATCACTACGGTTCTACTTTTTCACTTGCAGGGCATAGATGTTCATACAAAACAACGGTGTCAGATGACATTACTACTGGCAGATTGTAGCTGTTCATCTAACAACTCCCTTCTAAACGTATCCCAGTGCCATGAGTAATGAGGTCATTTTTGTTTTTCTTACCGCTTTAGCCAAGTAGCTGTCTGAATATTCCAGTTTCCTAGGTACATTTTGAAACTTGTAGCAGTCTAAAAAGAAGAAAATAGCACCTATCATTAGCTTAAAAAATACCCCAAGTAATGGAAAGTCCTCCCCAGAATTTCCCCGGTGGCAGATTAGATGCGCTGTTTCAATAGTGACTGCTCGGTCAAGGGCATATCAGCTGTTCCACTGAATGCAGGAAAATTTGGATGTTTATAAGATTGGCTCAAACTTGGCTTGCAAAGTCTCAATTTATTTTCAAATGATAGGAAAACTGAAGGAATGTCTTGTGGGTTTTCCATCCTCTCTGATTTAAAAAAAAAAAATTTTTTTTAAGTCATCTGAATTTTAAAACAAAATACCCTAAAAGGAGAGTTGCTGGAGGAAAAGTTTAATCATGTGAATTGAGTGCCTTTATGGAGACAGTTTCAATTTAGTTGACATCTTTGCACTGTGTTGCCATCTGTAAACTAGGTCAGTCTTATGAAGTTGTTCTACAAACAGATGCACAAGTTCAAATTCTCCTGTTCTATCTAGAACAGTAAGATTTATGCAGGAAGGCGTCACAGTGTAGAAAAGAAATATCACCCAACTGGCAATAACCCAAGTAAATCAACCACTGAGGAAGGGACATTCCAAAACAAGCCATCAGCAAGGTTTCCTCATTCAAAACAAAGTCTTACTGAAGGCTGGTGGTGGAAAGCATGGCACAAACATTCAAGAACCAGAATACCCAGTGAAGGTGGAAAGTACTAGGCCACGTCTTTCTGTTTCAACCACAAGAAAATCTTAGATATGTCACACACTGGCCTAATGTAGATAGATACAAAAAGATTTTGTATTATGAGTTTTTACTTCAAAATCCTAAGGACTTCTACGTATCCATATCTTCTATGGCTAATAAAATGCTCTACACACAGCTTTAAGAAACCTTAACTAAATCGGACTTCCTTGGTTTTCTTTAGCTCCTTACTCTATATCAACGTGATTGAAAATGCCAACTTTCTCCTTCTGGTTTTCCTTTATGACAAATACATGATTGAGTACATCAGCCCTTCACCCTAAACACATGCCCCCAGTGAAATGACTCTGTCATTTGGTGGGCAGCCAGAGGTCGGGGGGACCCTGGAAAGGACATTCACCCACAGCAGCCGGCAGTGCTCCAAAGAGTTTTGGGGGAGGAGAATTTTGGCAGAAGGGAGGAAAGACACAACACCTTGTACTCTGACATCATCTGCGTAGGTAGAAGAAGCATGTAGATTGTCTACACTGTTTTTCCAAACTTGAGAAAGGTTCTGATGGCTGGAGCTTGCCCATTTAAGATGAAGAGAAGCCCCAGGCATCAAGGTGAAGGGTATCCCCACCATGACTTCTTATGGCCTAGGGCCCCCCTAACGTGGGCAGCAGGTGGTCCATCTCCACATCCCTGGTTCCTTGCTCTCTATGTACATCCTCTTCTGCCCGGAATCTCCAGTCCAGGGTGAGTGGGAAACTCCAAACACAAACGGGAGTCCACCGGCTGGACACCAACACTGCTGTGTGCTGAGAACCAGGCCTTGCTCCCACCCGGCTGCAAGGGGGGAGGGGCTGAGACTCGGTTTTGCCCTCAGCTCTGATGCTGACAACACCAAGGAGACCTCCGGTAACAGTGGAAACAGACCGAGAACTGGGGTCTGAGAACAAAGCCAGAGAAATAGAAAAACCACAGTTTCCAGTGGCCTGAAAGCGGTGTGTCATAGCAATTCTTCTGCAATGCAAATGGACTGTCAGTGTTCCCAAAGGAACCACAGAGAGCATGTGCAATTCTGAAATCTAAATACAGAAGCTTCCGGTCCGTGCTGGTGACTGAAGAAAGGAGACTGCGAACTAGAGAAAATGGTTGCTGTACTTTCCAGTTGAAAGAACAGGCATGAAAACAACAAGAAAGATTTTCCCAGCTCTTTTTCAGGTGGTTTTGTGTCATTTTTCCTTGAACCATTAAAACGATCAAGAAAGTATCTTTTAAAAAGAAAAATAAGCCCAGCCTGTGTGGCTCAGTTTTCTGAGCGTTGTCCCATGGACTGAGAGGTCCCAGTTCGGTTCCAGTCAGGGCACGTGCCCAGGTTGCGGGCTCCATCCCCAGTAGGAGGCGTGCAGGAGGCGGCAGATTGATGATTCTATCTCTTTCCTTTCTTCTCTAAAACAATCAGTAGAAACATATTTTAGCCTGGCCGGTGTGGCTCAGTGGTTGAGCATCAGCCCATGCACCAAGAGGTCGCCGGTTCAATTCCTGGTCAGGGCACGTGCCCAGGTTGTGGGCCAGATCCCCAGTGGGGGGCAAGCAGGAGGCGGCCAGTCCATGTTCTTGCTCATCATTGTTTCCATCTCTCTCTCCCTCTAAAACCAATAAGGAGAAAATAAATAAAAAATAAAAACATTTAAAAGGGAAAAGAACTCCAAAATGCAACATGCCCAGGAGGCGGCAGGACCTGGCATTCATTCCCTGGTGGCAGCTTTTCCTCAGACACCAGTGCGGAAGATCCCTGCGCACTGCTCTCAAGCAAACCCTTGCTTTGTTCAGAGTGGCAGCTTGATTCAGAAGCATAATAGACTCACCTCAATTTTCCAGATGTTTAGGTTAGAAAGCAGATCCCAACAGAAATTTCCATTCTGATCCACTCCGCTGAACCCAAAGCCAGCTGCGTTATTCACGGCATCAGCTATGGTTTTTAAAACAACACATTAGGACACAGAACAAGTCACATTGCCACTTTAAAAAATACCGATGTCTGTCTAGCTTTAAGATAAGGACGTAGTTTCCTTGAAAAGGAAACCAAAAAAAATTAAAGGACCTGACACCGTTGTGAATTAGAGAAATATTTTCGACTTTTCGGTGAACTCAACTTTTATTCACTGATTTTTATTCATTCACTAGCATTTAGTAAGCAACTGCTAAGTAAGAAGAAAGGTACTAGATGCTTACAGAATGCAATATGAGAATTAGAGAAAGAAAGAACCAAAGCAAAGCAATATACAGAAGGATTTAGTGACCATCCTGTATAAGAGAAAGGGACGAAGGTAAAAATACACTTAAGCCATGGCTGGGTTTGCTCAGGGGTTAGAGCGTTGGCCTGAGGACCAACAGTTCAATTCCAGTCAAGGGCACATACCTTGGTTGGGGTTGTGCAGGATCGATGTTTCTTTCCCTCCCTCCCTCCCCCTCTATCTTAAGATAAATGAAAAAATATCCTAGGGTGAGGATTAAAAAAATAAATACAATAGAATAAAGATAATCCTTTTTAAAAATACACTTAAGCTCAGAAGCAGAGACCGGAAGAAACAAGGGACCCCATAGAGGTCCAAGAGCTGTCATCAAGGAAGGTAGGACATGAACTGGTAAGAGAAAATAAATAAAAAACTGGATTATTTTTTTAATCCTCACATTAAGTCAGGAGACCCAGCTCTGAGAGAGAAATTGGAGCTCATTCTGAATATAGTAATACGACATGCCAGTAGGATATCGGCTGGGGCTGCCAAGATGCAGTCAGAAAAGTTTAGAATACAAGAAAAAGAAGAGAGCTAGAGATGAGAATTTGGGGCCAGCTGCCACGGAGGCCACACGTGGACACAAATCCAAAGCTGTCCCACCCATACAGTCAGCCTTAAAGCTCCCGTTACAATCTTTACTGGACTTCCCTGAACTGGAAGAAAATGTCCCCCTGCAGTGAGTATGCATTTCTCATCAACCCTTCAATGAAATGCTTTTTGTCAACAAAAAGATACCTAATGATATCAAGACCTTTTACTACGATGACCAAAAGGATCATTTCCTCTTTTCAGTTATCTTAGTTCAAGTTCATTGATTATTTTTTTAAAAAGAAAATACTGTAATACAATGGATCAAATCACAGCATGGCCAAGTCTCGGATTTGGTCGAGATCTCAGAAAAATCTTCCTTTCTTCGAGCTCTGTTCCATCTGGCTCGAGAACTCCAGATGGACTTCCGAAGGGCTCCGCCAGCGAGCGGCAACCCGTTCTACGGCTGCCTCCTTCGCTGCTGGCACCACCGATGACGTAGCATCGCTCATCTGCGCTTGGCTTCCCTGGAAAAGGATCTGGCTGCTTTTAGAAGAAAGGAGGGCAAATGCCAGCCCTGTTACGTCCTCTCCCAAGACAACTGCATGGAAACTCAGTGAAAAGGAAAACAAAGCAACGGTCTGCCAGTTGAGACACGGATCGTTTTAGATGTGTGGACACAGATTAGTGAATGACGGACGATAAACGATCCTGGGGGAAGAGCCCTTGAGGTCCGTGCTGACAGCTAAAAGCACGGCTGGGCTGACCATGCTGGGACCACACAGCCACCCCCTGAATTCCTTCTCCCATCTCAGCCTCAATCTGGCTGACCTGCCCAGATCTAAAAAAAAAAAAAAAAAAATCAGAATAATAGCAACTATCTGTGTGTGCGCACACAAGCATAAGCACACTTGTTCCCTTTTGGGATTCTATAAATTACCCTACAGGCATTTCTCATTCAAGGCTCACAACGGTGTGAAGATAATGGTTACGGTAGGCCCTGGGGGTCAAGGCCCTGGCTTCCTGTCTCCACGTCAGCAACAGCATGAATGCATGGCCTTGGGAGGGTTGTCTAACTTCTAGAAACCTATTCTTTTGAGTATAAAATGGCTATAATAATGTTACTTACTTTAAAGGGATGTTGAAAGGATTAAGAATCACAATGGGCTTTGTTTGTATCATCCATGGCTCTAACACATCATTATGGATCAATTAATCCAGACAGCCATATTTTAGAGTTTGGGATCTTTAGAACACAGCCTGGGCTAAAGTTGAGTCTCACTAATTAGTACTAATTAGCAGGGGAATAAACAACCAGAATGGTACACTAAATCCAAAGAAATAGCTGTATGGTTTCAATACAAACAGTAACTAAAACTAAGCTAACAAAGAGCAGCTCAGCTGAGATTCAGCAAGAGGCCAGCTTTAAGGATTAAATTCATAATCACGTATAATTAGTATATCAATTATATGTAAATGGTGTTTTAAGCAGCTGAATAAAACAATTATTCAGTTAAGCAGTTTAAATATTCCCTGTCATATTATTCACTGCTTCTTCCTTTATAAATAATACACAGGTTAATTGCAGACCAGCTCATGCAATCTAAACGGTAACAAACTTCAAATTGAGGCCATACAAATTAATGAAGTGTTCTATGGAAGCTACCAAAAAAAGATGGGGGGGGGGGATAGCTAAGTCCACAGAGAAAGCTATCCACAAAAGGGATTACTGGGATACTTCAAATAGCTGGGGAATAGAGAACTCCCCAGACACCCCCATTCCCTGTGACCCCCTCCCCACCTGGACCCCACCAGCACAACCCACCTCGTATTAGACTTTCCCTATGAGGCCATGGAGGGCCTTTCTTTCCTCCTCAAAGCAGGAGCTGAATTATTCCAGAAGCCAGCCCATTAACCCCGGGACACAGAACATGGGAGCAGGAGGGTCAGAGAAGGAAAGAAAAAAGGAACATAAGTGAGGAAACAAAGTAGTAAAGGGAGCGAGAGGTTCTCAATCTTACACACACACTCAGGTTAGAGCAAAGTAAAAATACGATTTCACGCAGAAAAACAGCCCGGTGTTCCGTGTGAGGTTCCGACTCTACTGGGTATAATGTCCACGTACTAAGGAAATTATTTGTAAATAATAAAGCAACTGCAGAAAAAGGAATAAGATACAAGGAGAGTTTTGAAGGCTTCCCGGTGACCAGTCCCTATTTGTCATCTCCTCTGCCTGCCCTTGGGACAGCTCTTAATTCAAACTGCCTGGCTGGTGCACACGCCTGTGTTCCCACAGAGTGGGACACTCCTAAGGGCAGAGACTGTCTCTTACTTTTGAATTCCTCGTAGCACAGAACCCAGTACTCAACAAAAACTCCTTGCATTAGCCCTGGCCGGTTTGGCTCAGCGGTTAGAGCGTCGACCTGCGGTCCAGAGAGACCCAGGTTCAGTTCTCGCTAAGGACACGTACCTCGGTTGCAGTTTGTCCCCGGCCCTGGTTGGGTCGTGCGGGTGGCAGCCACTCGATGTGTTCCTTTCACATCAATGTTTCTCTCTCCCTCCCACTCTATCTGAACAAAATATGGAAAAATGTCCTTGGGTGAGGATTTAAAAAACTCCTTGCATTAAACTGTTATGAGAAACAAAATTTCCTACACTGAAAATTTTTAAGAAGCTCTGATTGAGACCTCTCTGGCCAAATGTCACATAAATACTACTTTGGCCCAAACTTATTCCTGAACAATTCAACCCTTAAAAATAATGTGGTCCCAGCCCTGGCCGGTTTGGCTCAGTGGTTAGAGCATCGGCCTAAGGACCAGTGAGTCGCAGGTTCAATTCCGGTCAAGGGCACGTACTTCAGTTGAGGTTCGGCCCTGGTCAGGGTCGTGCAGGTGGCAACCAGTCAATGTGTCCCTCTCACTTCAATGTTTCTCTCTCTGAAGATAAATAAATGTCTTCGGGTGAGGATTAACAAATAATAATGTGGTCCTGGAGACGGGGACAGGTTGGGATGAGGGCTTCTACTTTGCTTCATGGATGCAGGGCGGGGATGGTTGCACAACCATGTAAATGAACTTAATGCCACTAAACGGTGCACTACAAATGGTGAAAGTTTTATGAACACTTTTACCACGATAAAAATAATAATAAATGAAAAAATAATTTAGTAGCTACACATTTTAATTTGGGGCTAAAACCTTGGGGCATAAACTGAGAAAAGAGGAACTCGGACATGCTATGCCTCACTCATGAAATGCGGGCTAAGCACTAGGATCTGAGTTTAATCATCTGTTCAGCCGAGTAAACAGTCACTGCTCTCGGACATCAAGCCCCTGCCACTTTCCGCTAAGCTGCTGAACTCCCGCTGAGAGGGCTCCGCTGTGAAATACTACAGCCTGACCAAAATCCTTCACCAGGCCTGGGACGTCAGTAGAGGGTTTATTGCTCACTTAAGCAAAGCTTTAAACTTTTCCAGTCTAAAACTCTTTCAAAAGAAAGAGGGAAAACTTAATATTGACTAAGTTATATCACAAGGGGGGGGGGGGGAAGTATATTAAAACTAAATTAAGTTGAACTTTTCTACCTTAAAAAAAAAATCGCTTGAAGCCAGCTTCTTTCTAAGGCTTAAGACTTAGCCAACAATTTCTTTAAATGTGGAACCAAAATTAGCATGTGCGTTGGTAAAATTAATGTGGACCCCGTGTTATGTACAACCCAGAAAAATGAGAAGAAAGCCAGATCATTCCGGAATTTTTCTCTAACTTTCCACTGCACTATCTGGACATTTGACTGGCGGCAGAAGCAGCTTCCAAGGGTGGACATCTGTTAATAACATTGGATTTAAACCGCAACCAGGATTGCTTTTTTCCCTTACCGCGAACAATTGAGTTTACAATGGCTCAACTGCTTCCCATTATGGACTGGCCTTTCTGGTTAGGTGATCCAAAATGTCGCTTTGGCTAAGCCATCCAAGGAGTGTCATTTTTTCTCATTCACTTAGGGCCATTCCATCCAACTTACCTAACGTCCAGGCCAAGTAATACTTCGGCTTGGAGGCTTGCATGACGACATATAAGTAGCCCAGTCGGGTCAGAAAGTCTGCCCTGTGAACAAACCAGTCATCAACCAGGCAGGTGACGGGGAAGGTCTTCGTGAGCGTCAAAAACAAGAGGAGAGATACCAGGGTCACGCACAGCTTGTGTATCACCGCTCCCTGAAATGAAGGGGGGGTTGGTCAGTGAACTATTCAGGAGACTTCTGCAGGAGGAAGGCGATTCTGGCATGGACACAGGAAGAACAAAGCTGTCCCAGCAGCTGCTCTGGCCACGCTCCCTGGCAGGGTGGCCACGGGCTTTCCTGGGTGCCGCACATGGCATGGCGGGCACAGGCGCTCTCTTTGGATGCACAGTATACTTCTGACGCTTGAGGACTGAATGTGCCTAAAATGGAAGGAAACGTTAACCAGCAAATTCTGCTCACAAAGGGTAGATGGTTTCGTTACCCAAAACATGAGAGAAACAGAGACTACAGGGTGGCAGTCTTCCATCAGAAAGGAAGAGCCATTGGCTTCTGCTCTGTAGCCGGCGGAGCCGAGGAAACGGGTTTGCATCACCGGCAGGAGGGACAGGGCTTAGGAAGGATTCTGTGCGGGATGAAATGCCCAGGCCAGGGCTCGGCAGGTAATGGGAGGCTTTAGAAACCTTCCAGGAAGGATCAATGTAGTCAGCTCTGGGGTTACGATGTACTGACATTTTCAGTTCCCCTGGATGGAGTGATTTTGCCCAGTTTCCCTGGCTTTCCAGAAAATGTCATTTAACATCAACCCAATTATAGTTCCTGACTTTTAAAAACAGACAGTGCCTCCCTCAGAGGGTGGGTTGGGGTTTAAAGGAATGAATATAAGGTACCAGGAACAGTGCTGTCTTACAGCCGCGGGGGCTTCGCTCCTACATTGTCTCAATCACAGTTGCAGCCGAGACACTTGGCTAACCACAACGTGCTGAGGAGCCAGCTTGTCAAAGCCTTCGGGAAATGCATGCTTTAAATTTCAAATACTTAGTGTTGACTAGACTTTTGCATTTATAAAATATTTAAATTATCCTCACTTCCTCCCTTATACAAATTTCCCTTAAATATAGGATATTTTATCTGAGTAAGTTCAGCATATTTGTAAAGTTCACTAAGTTACCCTACTGTAGACTAATTTGAGATTAATACAATTCAGATTGAAATTAAAATGTTATTTTGAAAAACCATCTTAAACTCTCTCAAAGTCAATAAAACCAAGCTTTGGACAGTGTAAAACTGCTCTCCCTGGCAGCAAGCGGGTTCTGCAATAAAAAGCTCATTTATTCTGGCCCCCACTTCCTCCCCTTCCACCTTTTATGAATATTAGCCTTTGTATATTAATCTCTCTTCCTAAAGACAAAACACCCATACATTTGAAGGTGCTAACTAGTACAGAGCTGAGCACATGGTAGGCACTCAATATTGGCTGGCTGAACTAATGGATTGATTGCTTTAATATTCCCAGCCAGTGAGCTCCTCTGTGAAACAAACATCTGTTTCTCCGATACAGAGAACTACAAATAAATACCAAGATTGGTATTTTAAACAAATGGAGGGAAAAGTTATTGCCCAAACTTTCTGTTAAACTGTTTGGCTTTTTAATTAGAACAGTTATTAGTGAGAGCCTGCCCTGGCAGCAATATCTATGTTCTGGACCTCTGGGTAAATACTTGGCACTAAAAACTCACTGTGGGAGATGGTTCTGGCAGGGTGTGGAAACCCTTTTCCTTCCAGTTCACTTCCAGCAGCTTCATGTGTATATGTCTCCCCTCAATGAAGGCTACATAGTCCTTGAAATTGTTACAAGGTCCAGCTATGACGCTCATGAAGTTGAGAAGGTAGCTTAAGTATTCCAAAAAAGAGGGTTTTACTCTGTGAAAATAAAGTTTAAAAGAAAAGTTGAAAAGTCTTTAGTCTTTCGTTTTTCTTTCATATTTGCAAATAAGCAAATCGTAAACACAAGTGTTATCTTTATAGTTTATTAAATGTAGCAGGATCTTTCTTTGTTCTGTTTCTCTAAAATTCCGCCTGGCAGAGAAATTTTGTTGAAAGGAAAAGTTAATGAGTTGAGTGACTCAGAGAAGATGCGGCGCTCGGTGGCGCCCTCTGCTGGCCGACCACTACTGTAAACACAGAGGGTGGTGTGTAGGGCAGAGGCCTGGAAACGCTTTCTCCTCAACCTTAGCCGTCTACTGGAGAAAAGGAAGATAATAAACATAAGGCACAGGGCGAGTTGGACCTACCATTAGTGGGGGAAAATGCTGCAGGAGCTGTTCTGTGTAGTGTTTTAATGCATTTGAAGGGGCCTGCTCTCCCAGCAGGATGGAACTGTGGGCAAAGCCTTCTTAAAATGACCCTGGTGACCCAGTCACTGAAGTTATGCCTATAGCATGTGCAATCCCATAATGCTTAGCAAACAACTTGACTTGTTAGATGCTTCTAATGATTCTCCATTGGTTCCAAGTCCCAAATTCTTAATGAAGAAATGAGGCACTCGATCTCTTTACCACCTAGGACCCTCTCACTTCTCCCAGTTACCTCCTACCACTCTCTGGCAGGAACTCACAGCCGGGCTGCACCACCATCCCCAATACCCCATGTCATTTCTATCTTCATATGTTGTTCTCCCACTCTGCAGAGCCTCCCTCCCTCTCCAACACCCACCTCCCTTTCTACTACAACACTGGCTAAAGTCCACCTTCAGCCTTCCTCCTATCCTCAGCCAGTATTTCTCTTTTCAGCTTTACTTTCTGTCTCTTTTCATGCTGGCATCTAATCATACTAATGTGCATTGATAACTGTTTCTTGAGGACCCTGAGACACATGCCCAATAAAAATAATTCTGGGATAGACACAACAACCCCAGTGAAGGAGAACCCTGCAAAACTAACAATATTACAGGTGCATTTATTCTTCGGCCCAACAGTTTGACTTCAGGAATCTGTCCAACAGCTCTACCCAAACCCATCTGAAATAACCTATGGACAAGGTTAGTCATCATTTACCATTTGCAAAAGCTAAAGACTAGTAGGCACCCAAGTGTCCATCAATCGCAGGTTCATTAAAGAAACGATATTATATCCATACATAATGAAGTTCATAGGTAAGTATTTTTAAAATGAAGAACTCGTCCTGGATGGGTGGCTCAGTTGGTTGGAGCATCATTCTGTACACCAAAAAGACTGCAGGTTTGATTCCTGGTCAGGGTAACACATAGGTTTCAGATTTGATCCCCAGTCAGAGAGTGTACGGGAGGCAACTAATCAATGTTTATCTCTCATATCTATGTTTCTCTCTCCCTTCCCTTATCTCTAAAATCAATAAAAAAGCCTAGCTGGTGTGGCTCAGTAGTTGAGCATGGACCAATGGACCAAGAGGTTACAAGTTCGATTCCCAGTCAGGGCATATGCCAGGTTGTGAGCTCAATCCCCAGTAGGAGCCACGCAGGAGGCAGCCAATAGACGTTTCTCTCTCATTGATGCTTCTGTCTCTCCCTCTTCCTTCCTCTCTAAAAAAAAAAAATCAATAGAAACATATAAAAATAAATAAAATAGCCCTGGCCAGTTTTGCTCAGCGGTTAGAGCGTCGGCCTGCGGTCCAGAGAGACCTGGGTTCGGTACCTGCTAAGGGCATGTATCTCGGTTGCAGTTTGTCCCCGGCCCTGGTTGGGTCGTGCAGGTGGCGGCCACTCGATGTGTCCCTTTCACATCGATGTTTCTCTCTCTCTCTCTCCCCCCCTCCCTCCCACTCTATCTGAGCAAAGAATGGGAAAATGTCCTCGGGTGAGGATAAAAAATAAAAATAAAATCAATAAAAATATTTTTTAAACCCACATATCCTTGGGTGATGACTTTTAAAAAATGAAGATCTCTGGATACTAATAGACAAAGCACTCGAGAATATATTGTTAAAACTTAACTTACTTTACAGCAAGTCGATGCTGTTCAGCAGACAGGTCTTCAGCTCTTCGACCTAGTCCTATGAGAAGAAAAAATTAGGAATGTTTGAGGTGAAGTAATCTCAAAATAAGCTTATAAAACTCATCTGAAAAAAGTGATTAATATTATTTAATAAAGTTTCCCATTTTTTTAATGCCCTGGATCAAAACACTACCCATAAGTCCATGTGGAAGGAAAGTCTCTACGGGTCTTATGAAGAAGGGAGAATTCAGGGGTCTCTCCAAGTTCACTCGCACAGTGTGACGGATCCCAGAGAACCCTCCACGTCTCCTACACACCTTGCTTGCCGTGCTGTATGGGATTTTGTTGCTACATAGGAGAAATATGCCTGCCTTTGCAGCTACACCAGCGTGAAGACCTCCATGATGTGCTGGGTGCAGACACCTGGGACAAGCTGAGAGTGTGGGTGAGGAATGTAATGGGGAGAGAAATAGGGACCTTCCTCTTTAAAAACACAGGAAATGTAACCCTGAATGCAGGGGAAACACAAAAGAACGATCAGGAGGTTTTACTTCTTTTAAGACTCGTCCATACCAGAAATACTCCCAACCCAATCACTTCTGTGCTTCCTGTACAATGAGTCAAAGAAATCGAAGTGTCCTCCCATAAGCACCAGGAGTCAACTTTAAAACTGTGTACTCAGCCTGGCTGGTGTGGCTCAGTGGACTGAGCATCCTCCTATGGACTAAGAGGTCCCGGTTCGATTCCCGGTCAGGGCCCATGCCCACGTTGCAGGCTCAATCCCCAGTGTGGGGCGTGCAGGGGGCAGCTGATTAATGTTTCTCTCTCACATTGATGTCTGTCTCTCTCTCTCTCGCCCTTCCTCTCTCTCTAAAAGATCAATAAAAAACATATTACAAGAAAAAACTGTAAACTCCAGTAAGACTGATATGGTCACCAGTCAAAGACAACTCAAAAACATGCCTAAGAGAAGGCAGAGTGGTTCCCGAATTCACTTCTCCCTCCCACACACAAGAAAAAAAGACGAAGGCAAATAAACATTTTGTTGCATGTAAGAGATGTTCCAGAAAATAAAATAAACTAAGAATGCTTACAAAGGTTAATTCAGGCAAAAAGCCTATGTAGAAAAACAAAAGAAACACACGAAGCAGTGTTTTGTTTTGTTTTTGCTTTTGGTTTTTAAATCACACTTTTTTCTAAGACCTCATCAAATAGTACAAATATGGCAATCCCAGAAACCCAACTGATTTTAGCTATTGATTTATGTTGCTGATGTTAGTCTATAACCACTACCAAGTAGATTTTCAGGTACATAAATGCTGACCAGCTCACCCCGGTTTGCCCAGGACTTCGTCGATTTGGGCACTAAAAGTCTCACATCTTGGAAAACCTCTCCGTTCTGGGCAAACCAGGGCAGTGGTCACCCTAGAAAGACTCATCCCTGGTATAAAATTACCAGTTCTCTACAAAATGACTAAGTTCCCAAGTATGAACAAGAAACACACAGGGTCAAAATGAAATTCGTTTCAAAGCTTTAAGGAAAAACAAGATGACCCGTGGAGACTGTCAAAACACAAAGAAGCTTCAGGGACGTGCCAATCCTCAGCACACACTTTTACTAACCGCCCCAGCATCGCCAAAGCCCATCTTCCACCCAGCGGAAGTGCCCTTCTCCTTCCCTGGAACCCAGCTGTAAGAGTGGAAATCACATTTTCTGGTCCTTTTCAGAAAGAGTCTGGGTAGACAAAATGTTCGTTTTTATACAAACAGGAAACTTTCTTCTCCCCGCTTTTTATAGGGTCAGGCTAATCTCATACCATTTCCAGGCAAAAACAAACAAACCAAAAAAAACCTAGCAGTAAAATCTGGCTAACCCATCAATGCTGTTTAATCTTTTATTACTTCGCGAGCTTCTTAGAGATCAAAGCAAAGAAACACCATTTTTTCTTAACAGATTTGGAAATGACGTGCAGAGAGCACCGTAAGTTAACTTAAATTTTAAATAGTGTAGAGGTAAACAAAACCCACTGTTCTCAATGCAAATATTGCAGCAAATTCAGGCTACAAATTCAGGAGGGAACTGGTAAGTAATAGCTGGGAAAGTTAAAGGCTATGATTAAAAAGGCTACAAATTTTTTACAAGATACAGCACGGTCTGCCAGCACTTGTCCAAACTCAGGACTGTGGAGAGAGGATGAAACATCAGGTGGACTCTCAGCAAGGAGGAGGCTGTTTTTCTCACCGTCGTGAACTTGGAATGCCAAGGTTGTGATCTTCTGAGTGACAATCATCAGAGGCCTAAAAGGAAGACAGAAAATCATTAAGATTAGCAAAAGTGCCACTGGAGCTCTTATTCTATTTCTCTATATGGTGGTTTTTCATCTTGAAGATTATTCAATAAAATAAAAAAACGCTGAATTCTAAATAGCAGTTTTTATTTCCCTTCTGAATCACTTTAAATGTGGGTGTAACAACACAGAACAAGAGCCACAGAAAGTCCCTCTTGAGCTATTTTATTATTCAAAGCATAAGCTCCAGGACCAGCATCACAGCATGTCCTGGGGCTTGTTGGACATGCAGAATCTCACACTCGATTCCAGAACCAGAAAACAAGAACCGGCACTTGGACAAGATCTCCGGGGACTCTGAATGCAAGCGAGCGTGTAAGACGCACTGGCTCAGGGTCCCTAACCCAGTGCCCGGCTCCCCGGGATGAGATACGAATCCCGATTTGGTCTCATATGCTTTATTCTATCAAAGGCTATTCATCCACGCACACGTAGCAAAAGATACATTTGTAAAATGCAGCTACCTATAAACAAACCTTTTAGTCACAAAAAATAACAGCAATCTCAATTCAAAAAAAAAAAAAAGCCTTCAAATAAAAACTTGCCTAAGAAGTGCCACCCACGTCAACAAGGTGCCAAGATAATTCAACAGAGGAGAAAACAGTCTTCTCAACAAACAGTAAGGGTGCAACCAGATAGCCACAGAAAAAGAATACAGAAAGTAATTAAAAGGAATCCAAGATCCAAATATAAGAGCTAAAATTATAAAAGTCTTAGAAGAAAACACAGATGTGCATCTTCATGACCTTAGATTTGGCAATCGTTTCTTAGACATAACACCAAAAGCACAAGTAACAACGAAAAAATAGATTAAATGAATAACGTTAAAACTTAAACTTTTGTACGTCAAAGGATATACACCACCAAGAAAGTGAAAAGACATTTCACAGAATGCATGCAAATGTGTGTAAATCACCCATCTGTAAGACTTGCACTAGACTATATCGAGAACTCTTACAACTCGATAATTAAAAGACAACCCAATTTTTACAAAGCCAATGGATTTGAATGGACATTTCTCTAAAAATATACACAAATGGTGAATCAATGTATGAAAAGACAGTCAACAGTAATTAGTTATAAGAGAAATACAAATCAAAAACCATGACGAGATACCACTTCTCAAGCAATAAAAGGATTGGAAGCAAACAGAGAACAAGTGTGAGCCAGGAGGTGGAGAACTGGAGAGAGCCCTTGTACATTGCTGGCGGGAATATTAACAGGTGCAGATGCTTTAGAAACATTCTGGCAATTTCTCAAAAGGTTAAATGTAGAGCTACCCTGTGAACAAGCAATTCCACTCCCAGGTATATTCCCATAGGAAATAAAAATAAATATGTCTACACAAAAATTTGTACAAACATTATTCATAATATTCCCAAAAGAAATAACCCAAATGTCCATCAACGGTGACCAGATAAGAAAAATGTGGTATGAATATCACTCAGTAATGAAAAGAATGAAGTACTGACACGTGCTACAACATGGACCTTGAAAACATGCTAAAGAAGCCAGACAGAAAAGGCCACATATTGTGCGATTTCATTTCCATGAAATGTCTAGAACAGGCAAATCCAGAGACAGGAAGTAGACTGCTGGCTGCCTAGGCTTGGGGAATTGGAAGGAATTGAGGAGAGATAGCTAATGCATACAGGTTTCTTTTGAGGGTGATGATAAAAATGTTGCAAAATTCATTGTGATTTATGGTTGTACTCTGCGAATATGCTAAAAAACACTGAATTGTATACTTTAAATGTGTGAACTGTGTGGTATGTGAATTGCCTGTCTCAGTAAAGCTGCAGTTTTTTAAATGCACCTGTTTTTCCAATCGTCGACCCTAGTTTAGCACTTTTGGTAGCTCTGTTCTTACCCAACAAGACGAGAGAAAATCCCACTGCCCTAACTACCACACTTTCTTCCAAGCCTCCTTAGCTAATCCTGCTTTTCTGATCTCCATCCATGGCTTCTTACTGACTTTGCTGTCTCTGACCCCCGTGGACTCGCGCCTCGCTTATATGGAATGCTGAGGCTCCGACCCTGGGGTGCCAAACGGCCTCTGTGTGGGGAGCTCAGGCCAGGCCCAGGTGTTGGGGGGAAGTAGAATCAACACAAACCATTTTCAGGACAAGTGTGAGGTGTGTCAACTGCACTTGGTCGCTTCTCTCTGAGTCCATTTTCCTCTTTCATTCCTCTCATTCTAATTCCCATTTTCCACCTGTTCAACATAATAAGCATGTAATATTTTGAACTAGCAACATAAACTAACAAGATAAAGCGTTTTCAAGAAAAGGACCAACAAATACACTTGGCAATCTTAACACCTGTACCCAACTTGATACCTTATTTGCAAAAGTCCAGTGGCCAATGGCCATCGCTTGAAACGAGATTCCGAATGTTGTTATGCGTCTAAGAGAAAGGGAGTCTGACTGCGGAAGGGAAGGGCACCTGTGCTCTGCGAGGACTGGCATCAAGGTGTGGCACACAAGGGAGCCACCAGGTGGTCATTTCAAGGCAGCAAGACGAGTCCGTAGCTAATGCTGACGTGACTACGCTCTTTAATATTGGAAAACATAACTGATCTTCCAGAACACTGAGATTTGGGTCCCAGAAATAGGCTACATGGAAGCTTTCTATAAGATCGAATTGCTCTTATGACCATTATAACCCTGCAGCTCACTGACAGTCAACAAGGCCTCTGACACTCCATGTATAACAGGTGCTGAGAGCCAGCTCTCTGGAAAGGGACTCACTTTCAGCATCACAATCAAGGTAGTTTCAAATGTGATTTTCAAAGCCTTTTTTGTCTTTTTTTTTCTGCAAGTCCTAGGAATCACTAATAGTACCTAAGCTCCCGGTCTTCCTTGCACAAATCCCAATACAAAATTTTTAAAATTTGAGGCACACTCTCTGGTGACTATGCAATTTGTAAACAAAACATGCTCCTCCATTTGATTTAATTCATTAAAAATATGTTGCCTGGCTGGTGTGGCTCAGTGGGTTGAGTGTCATCCCATGCACCAAGAGATTGCTGGTTTGATTCCCAGTCAGGGCACATGCCTGGGTTGTGGGCTTGATCCCCAGTAGGGGCGTGCAGGAGGCAGCCGATGGATATTTCTATCTCTCTCCCTCTCCCTTCCTCTCTATATCAAATCAATAAAAACATATTAAAAATAAATAAATAGCCCTGGCCGGTTTGGCTCAGCGGTTGGAACGTCAGCCTGTGGTCCAGAGAGACCCGGGTTTGGTTCCCGCTAAGGGCACCTAACTCGGTTGCAGTTTGTCCCCGGCCCTGGTTGGGTCATGGGGGAGATGGCTACTCGGTATGTCCCTTCCACGTCGATGTTTCTCTCTCTCTGTCTCTTCCTCTCTCTCTCTCTGTCTCTATCTGAACAAAAAATGAAAAAATGTCCTTGGGTGAGGATTAAAATAAATAAATTAATCAATCAATTAATGAGTGAATTAGTTTTTTAGGCCCTTAAATATATATATATATCAACAAAGACATAAATATGTCAAGGAATTAGCCCTGACCAGTTTGGCTCAGCAGTTAAAGCATTGGACCACGGACCAAAGGGTCTCAGGTTCGATTCTGGTCAAGGGCACCTACCTCAGTTGCAGTTTGATCCCCAGCTGGGGTCATGCGGGAAGCAACCAATCAATGTTTCTCTCTCACATCGATGTTTCTTTCTCTTTCTCTCTCTCTCCCTCCCTCCCTCCCTCCTTCTCCATCTGAAAGTCAGTGGAAGAATATCCTCCAGTGAGGATTAAAAAAATGTGTCAAGGAATTAGCCTACCTTTCTGTCTCTATAGAAATATAGCATTTGTTTTCCTCTATCTGGGGTAAAGTATTCCATAATCAGGCACATATTCAGCAAGGCATTTATAGTCTAATGTTCACGTGTGTGGTGCCATGAGAATGTGTCTCTCAGATCGGCTGCTGGGGCAGCATAACTGACTGGCTCTAGCTGTGCCCTCTGGTTCTGCCACCTTGTCTGTGTGACACCCACACCTCCAGACCAGGCAGGCCCCTCCCTACAAGGTGTGGTACTCCTCTGCCCTGGAGAATTTTAGCTCAGGGACTTCCCCTTGAATTTGCCACAACTGTCTTAGAACTGCAGCCCCAGACCTCTCTTCCTTCTGTCCCCCTCTCGTCTCCGGGGTCAGACATGCCTTTCAATCGGATGGCTCCCCCAGCCTCGCGAGGGCCTCCCCATTTTCCTTCACAGGCATTTCACCCAACAAATCTCTCACACTTCTGTCCCCACCTAGGCGTCCGTTTCTCCGAGAACAGGACTAATGCAATACATAATACTGAATATCTAGATCTATGTCAATAAATAACAATTATTCAATATGAAATCTGCACCACTGGGTCTTATTTAGGAAAAAAAAAAATTCCTTTTTGGAAAAAAAGAAGTTCTGCATCAAATATTGTTACACATCATCCAGACGATCCTTTCTACAATATACTACTTCTGTTTTAGACATCTAAAGAAGTTTCTGGCAACTTAAATAAAAAACAACTCTCACATGTGATCACTGATATGTAACAGACTGATGACCTGTGAAAAATCAGATCTAAAATCCCAAACTAAAACCTGTTTACCACAAGGAATGAATTTAGAATCCTCCTACATTCTTACTTTTCCACGGGTATAAGGAAGAGCACCATATGGTCTTGCTCAGAGAAAACCTTCTCTAAACACTTTTTCATTGATCAATTTATTTAAACGTATGGGCAGATCAGACACCAAACTTTGCACAAGTTACTGAGATTTGAGAGTCAAATCCGTGAAGTTACTAATTTAAAATAAAACTCACCATCCATGGTGCATTCCAATCAAAACTAATATAAGACATGATTGTTGGTCTGTGGCTGGAACTCATGCTTTCACTTTTTTTGCAAATAGGTAAAACTCAGCACCCTACAAGCACCTACTACAAACACAG